GAGGCTAAAATAACTGGTCCATTTGTAAAAGAGGGAGCATACCCTAAAAAAATATTCTATCTGGAGCTACTGTGAGGGCTAGTTAACAAATTCAAGGCATCTGGAACACATTGAAGGAGCCAGGTAGACATCAGGCATAAACAGAGTATCAGTCATCATAGAATCACAGAATAATGTAGGCTGGGAAGGACCTCTGGAGGTCCTAGTCCAGCTCCCCATGGAAAGCAGGGCTAGTATCTAAGTCAGACTCAACTTCAAAGTTAGGTCAGCTTGCTCAGGGTCTTAGATGGCGAGTTTGAAGTAGTATGGCTTTTGATTTCATATCCACCTTCAGATAAAGTGTCGGGGACGAGTATTAAAGAGAGTAATATGCAATACGACAGACTACAGTTTTCAAAACCAGAAGGAATGTTTTATTAATTGCTCCTTACATTGTACGAGCCACTTTCTTCAGACTTAGTAAAGTTACATTGGTTCTTCTTATGTTATTTTATAGCAAACTATCAGCCTTGCTGAGCATTTTACAAATATCTGTCAACATCAACTCTGAGCAATGATCCAGATCTTCTAATGAGGAAGCTGCTTTTGAGCTAGCAATTTCCCCTTGGAACAACCCCTTAGATTCAAAACAAGCAGATACCATCCAAGACTATTGAGCCATGTTAATTCAGATATCTGCATCTAATATATAATTAAGGTTAAACCCCTTCAAGAGCTACCAAATGAGCAGCCTCTGATGCTTTTTTATTTTAAAAACAAATTAGAACAGAATTATAAGCAGAAAACTAGACTCAAGTTGTTTTACTGCACTATGCTAAGTTAAGCTTACTTTATGGTTTGTTCGTCACTAAGTTTAAACATGTACAGAGACCCTGTTGCACTTATTTCCTTGAGACTGTTTTGTCTTTCAAACATTCATGGACAGTTCTTAGAGTATAATGATCTTATAGAAAACTGAACGTTGCATAAATAAATACACAGGTTGAGAAGTAACAAAGTCATACAGCCCCCATAAACCTGAATGAATACAGTTAACCAGTATGAAACCATTCAAACGTATTTTTATATACGCTATTTTCACAATAAACTGAAATGCTGCAGAGGAGCCATTGTTTTCTATGAATAGCATACATGTGTACTGAAGCCAAAATACACAATACACCTGCAGATCAGATTCTATGGAACCATTTAAGTCTTCCACATCATATTTGTGTAGCTTTGATTTAAAGAACTATAATGGCTGCAGTCTATGGCATAAATTCAAATTTACTGTTGTTAATTCTGCAGGAAGAAGAGAACTACCTGTAGAGATACAGACACACCATGCAGTTGTACATAAGATGCGTTTAATTTTAGGCAGATGCTGTGAGAGAAATAAATATTCATACATAACTCTTAAACTGATAACTGATAAATCTGCAAATGAACCATCAAAAATTAGACACAATCCACTCCAAATGAGGTCTAAAAAAAATTTTGTTTAAAGACACCAAAGGAACACTCCAAACTCTGTAAGTTGTTTTTTTGTTTGTTTGTTTGGTTGGTTTTTTTACTTTAGCACATGAGTTTAAAATACAGCTGACTTAAAGACAACTTGTGCATTAGCCAAGTTAAGCTTTGATCATAGAAAATAATTTTATGCCCAGACAGCTGGTGAGACTGTAAAGCAGCATTGCTGGATCTCAAGATTTTATCACGAAGCTTTCCATATTGACAACTTTGTTAGTTTTTCAGCTCCTGAAGTTGCTATTAGTGGGAATTTTAGAATTTCATCAAGGGAAGAGGGAGACAAGGGATATGCGAGAATACCTTTCTAGCTCCTGCAATTACAGGAAAAAAAATTGAACTGGTGATTTACATAGACCCTAAAGACTCAAAAAGAAGAAAATCAAATTAAGATGAGATTATTTTATAATCTTCAGATTTCTAAAAATTAATTTGACTCACTATTTTACCTACTTGAACCAGCAATATTGTGAAGTACTTACAGTACTTTAAAAGCAGTACGAGAGCAAAGGATTGCTTGCAAGCTATAAACAAAAAGCCCTCAAAACAGTGAATGAATGCATGCAAGAATACATACTCCAAGCACTAGCAACGCTGAAGGAAAACCGAGAAGGATTATTTCCTGCTATAACAGCCAATGTAATCATGCTCTGTACATTTCCTTCTGCTCTCCACTACTAAGTTGCCCTTTTGATAGCAGTCAGGGGTCCTACATCTAATTACAACAAAGGTTTTTAATTAAACCTCGACTATGCTTTAACAGCTTCTAGCATGAGCTTGCCCTTGATGGTGCCACTTGAGGTGCTCTGCTTCAAGGGATGATGAAGTAAATCTCTTAAAACCATGGGTGAAGATGCCTTTTTCCTGTGTGTACTACTGCTTTTCACAGCTAGCCAGCTACAAAGCTGCTTGCGCTGGTATCAAGCTAAAAGAGCTTTCCCTGTGGGAGCTCCCCACTATCTCCAAAATATACCGTGTGCTAGATCCTTGATGTAGGAGGAGAGTGCACTTAAAATATTAAGGCAAGCACACAAACTGGTCTTGAATATGAGCCCAATCCAACTTGGTGAACTTACTGGGAGCCTTCCCATTTACTTTAATGGGAATTGTAACACATTAGCAGAAGGCGAAAGGAGAACGGTACAGTTTCTCCTATTTCAGGTCTCCTCAGAGTGCAGCATTGTGTGCCAAACATGAGGAAAATGAAGGGTTTATTCCAGTCACCTCAAATAAAACAATCATTCACTTCTTCCCCAGTAGCTTGTGAAACCTGGCTCCATAGACTGGAAAGTATCTAAGGAAAATGAGTAAAGCTCATTCAAGGAACCTGAATAAAACCGGACAGGCAGGAATTTTTGCACAGGGTAGAGGAAAGCACCAGGAAAAGGCAAATTTTCAACACACAGCATCCAACAAAACCACATTTCATTCCTATCCATCCTCACTCATTCATCTTCCACCTTCCCATAAACAGACAGGTGACAGATAAAGCAACGAGAGAGATTAGTGTCCTTTTATGCTGTTCCATAAGCTGTCCTGCTTTTCTTAAATGTCCCACTTTTGTGTGTGTGTGTGTGCGAGTGTATACACGCATGCGTGGTGGGGAGATGGATTGAGGGGGGAGCCCAATAAAGTGTGTGCGGAGGTGGGGAGGGATTTGAAGCAGGTTTTCATTCAAGCCATCTGAAAAGTCTTTCTGCAATCAAGGGGATACTATTTCAGGAGACAGGGAGAAGGGGCAAGGGATTCACGTTGCTAAGGAGACACATAGGAGCTGACATTCCTACATAAATTTCCATTTATACTGGGGAAGGAAAAGAAAGGTCTCCAAAGTTTGTATAGATACCCTGGTAACTGACTGAAACCGACATTTCCTTACAATTTGTTTTGGCGCTACGCGATTGAAAACAAAACCCCAAACAACATTCAAACCCTCAAATACTACTCCACACAATAACAGAAAAAAATAATCACAGCAGCAAAGGAACCTGTGCAATGTCTACTCAAGCAGCGATCAGTTATTTCCCAGAATCTATACAAGGATTTCAGAGAAGCAAGGAAAAAGGAAAGCATCTAGAATACGGTCAGGCCCTTGCCTTCTTTCCCAAAACAAACATCTTGTCCCTATATGATTTACCCAACCGGAGAGCACGGCGATCCAAACGGATGATTTAGCAATGCAAGCATGTGTGTGTGGAGGACAGGGACGGGGATGAAAATGGGGAGAGGGGAGGGGGAAGAGGCTGGCTTCATTTGTCAATGTTTCTATTGGGACTCCAGAAGAAGTTGGTCTCAGGCATAAAGTAAATAAACCAACCCATGAAAACCTTAACAATTATGGTACTACAAAAGAATTTACTGAAAAATATTCAACAGGCAGCTTGTTTGTATCATTCACAACCCATTTTTAAGTACTCCAAGCAACAGTGAAATGACAAACCACTATGACCAGAGACCTAGAAAGCTGAAGAACGAATAAGCATCAAGAAATCAAAACAGGGAGTGTGGCAAGAAGGCAAAGGAATATGAAAGATGATGGGAAGATCAGTACTTGCTAGAGAAAGACATACACAAGCACACCCAGGGGGATAGGGAGAGAGCCAGAGTGCAGGCGTCCTCGCTCGGGACAAAATAACAACCGGTTTTGGTCAGGAAGCCCCAACTTTCCAAGACTAGCAACTTCGGGGGATGTGGGCAGAGGTGGGGGGGGAATTATAAGATACATGATCCCCAACAGCTTCTCACCGTACGAGAACAACTGCCACACGGAAAAATAATCAGAACTAGTCCAAACTCGGGATGTTTTGTGAAAACACAAAGGCAGATACTAAATCAGTCACCCTTTTCGCTCACAGAAGCCAACCTCACACCTCTCCTGCACCCTAGACCATCTCGCAGGCAGAGGGATGAGCCGGGCACGGACTCAGGGTGCTCCCCCCTCCAGCACAGGCTATTTACAGAGACCGCCGCCACCTTCACCCCAACCCACAAGCCAGGGAGATGCGGGGTCGGGGCCGCGCAGCCCGGGAAGGGCAAGCGCCGGGGTCGGGGAGGCAGGGAGGAGGATGAGGAGCATGGGGATGGACGAAGCGGCTGGGGAACGGGAGGACAAAGGTGCCGGGGTCTCTTCCCGGCGGCGGCCGGAGCGGAGAGGCGGGCGGAGAGCGGGGACGGCAGCGGGCGAGGCGGGGAGTCCGGAGCGGGAGCGGGGAATGGCGGGGGGAGGGCTCCGGGCACTGCTCCGGTCCGGAGGGGAGGCTGGCCCCGGGAAGGGGCTGGGACACGGTCCTGGAGGTGACAAGGGTGAAGGAGAGGCGGCTCAGAGGATGCTGGCAGGGGAGCCCGGGCACGGGGCGGGGGACAAGTCTCAGCGCCCGGGGTGCGGCCGGGGAAGCGGGAGGCGGCCAAGGTGGTGGCGGCGGGGAGGCAGAAAGGGGCGGGAGGGAGCGGAGCCAGGGGGGTCCGGGGCGAGCCCCGGGGCAGCCGTATCTCACCGCTGTGCAGCGTCGACTCGCAGAGCCAGCTGTCCAAGTTGCCGGGCTTGCGGCAGGACTCCCAGAGGGACAGGTAGTACTGGTGGTCCGCTGTCACCCAGGCGGGGCTCAGCACGGCTCCCAGGTCCAGGCAGAGCGCCAGGAAGATGCACACCAGCCCCACCAGCTTCAGCGGGGTCAGCACCGATACGCGCACCTCCTCCATGCCGCTGCCGGCCGAAGCCATGGGGCCCGGGGGGAGGGAGGAGAAGGAGGAGGAGGACGCACTGCCGCCGGCCCCGAGGGAAGAGGAGCAAGAGCCCAGCACCGCGCAGAAGAGGCGTGAGGAGGCAGAGGCAGCGAGACCAGCGCTGACTAACGGCGGGGGGGGGGGTTCCGCGGCGGCGGGCAGCGCCGCTCCCTCCCTCCTCCCTCGCCGCGCTCCCGCCCCGGTGTATCAGGTGCAGCAGCTCCCCCTAGGCCCCCCGGCGCCGCCCCGCCCGGGCCCGCC